AAGAAGGCATGCCTGCCTCCGACAATTTCTGAAGCGTTTCGGCCACGAAGGGGAGGACTGTCGCCCGGAGTTCGGGAGCTCTGTCGTCAAGGACGTCAAGCATGTAGTTTTTGAGTGCAGCTGGCTTGTAAGTAAGCGTCACCGGCTAGAGACGACGGCGGGCCGCTCAGCCATCCAGGAAACTTCATGGAGGTTATGGAAAAAATCAGATTTGGTGCTGCAAACAATGCAGTAGCTGGATGGGAATCAACTGCAGGCGGTATTATCAGTAATTTCTATTCTGTTTTATTTCTTCTGGTTTCGCATGCGCCTTGCTAGTATTTGTAGCGTGTGCCTTTGGGACCTTTGTAGCAGCAATACACAATAGCTCGTCGTGTATTTATGTATGTCTCCCCCGCCCGCCTCTTGCCACGTAACGTAAGCAGCTAATGATTTTAGCGTTGATTTAAGCAGCAGCAAATTTTTAAATTTGAGCCTCTAATAAATATTGAAAATTGAACTGCAACTTTTTTATTTATTTAATTTGAATTTATTTAGAATTTAATTATTGCACTTAAATTACACAATGGAGATTGCTAAAAGCAGGTAGAGGATGCCTCGGATTCGAGCAGAGGATACCTGTCAAGAAATGGAGGTCCTGTATGAGAAGGTCAAGGCTACGATGCGGACCGAAGACCACGCTTCTGGAGGAATTGGAGGAGCCTAATTATATTGGAACTGATTTATATGGAGTATTCTCTTAGCTGGCCACGGACGTGCACGTCGACATACAGATAGAAGGTGCCACGTGCTCCATGAAAGTTGCTGCCCACTCTACGCTTTTGGATGGTACCAGTGGTCCTGATATATCACCCACTCCATACAGGCCGCCTGCTCCCTCATTGCTTCCGTTGCCGATGCCAACATTCAGCGGTGGCTATTCCATGATCTTTCCATTGATCTTTTGCACAACCGGTTTAATAATCGAAGGGTAATAGTACAGGCTCACATGAACGAAATACTCAAAAATCATGAGAGCAGTCAAGCCGGTATCCGTTGCAACTCTGTGGTTCGGTGGCTCGGTTCTTCGAACAAAGGTGCCGTACCCTCAAGACTGTGGATTTGGCCTTATTTCATCATCTGACAACAAATCATGTGAGCCGACGTAGGCCATTTAATAATCGTTCGTGCATGTTCGTTAATGCCATGCCGTCTGCGTTTGCCCTGTGCGGTATCCTTGCCACTTGAGAAACGATACGATGATGTTATCATCATGCACTCCGTGGCCAGATGGAGCTACGGATAGAACATCGGTTAATGTTTGTCTGATGTCTCCCCTATCAACGTATTGGGTATACATGTGGCGTCTCACATCGCAGAGCGTCAACCTGGCCTGAAAATAGACGTCTTTAACTGGAATTTTCCTGCCAATGTGGTTCTGGAAGATCCGAACTTCTACAGAACGAACCGTGTGGATTTGCTGATTGGACCCAGCCTGTTTTTTAATCTTGTCTAAGTTGGGCAAATCCATCAAGGAGACGGTCTGCCTCATGTGCAGAAGTCGCGTTTTGGAGGTTGTTGAATCAGAAGGGAAACCCCGTTTGCCCGCTTCAGGTAAGGTGATTCCTGCTGACTCCTCAACCAATTTTTACCATCAACTCGATTATCTTCTCCGCCAATTCTGGGAACTGAAAACCTTCACTGATCCGATCATTCTGGCTACTAAGGAAGAGTTTGATGTCAATGCCCACTTCGCCATGCACTAGATCCGTCTTGAATCAGGTGCATATTCGGCTTGTCTTCCAATTAAATACAGCGTGGAGCAGTTTGGATAATCCATGAATAATTTCCTAATATCAGGCCCCGTGATTCAATCTAAACTCTTTCATACCTCCGTATACCTTTTGTTTAGTTCTCACATAGTCGCTTTACCGAGAGACTTGCAATTTGCAAGATGTACCGCTGCGTAAGAGTCACTCCAGATGATAGCTTGCTGCAGTGCAACCTATTGCGCGATTCTATCCACGATGATATGAAGGTTTTCAAGCCCGACACCAGCTTGCTAAGAATGAAAGTGCAGGTTTTCCCATTGGCTCTCGTGTTGCCCTTAGTTATTTTTACGTGGACGACCTAATATCGGGTGCCCCAACGAAAACTGAAGCTGTTGAGATAAAAGCCCAGGCAACAAGCCTTTTGAGGAAGAGTCAGTTTCAATTAAAGAAGTGATGCTCCAACATTCCAGAGGTTTTGGAAGGAGTACCCGAGGGTAAAAAGGAGTCGTACCTTGAATTGTATCTGTAGTGAGTAACTTTCATGTGACAAACCTACACTCAGGCCCTCGGGCGCTAATTACGAAGATCCGTTCCCAATATTGACCCATTGGGGGGAGGAAGACCGTTACAAGGATTTTAAGCAAGTGCGTTCCTCCTCGTAAGCCTCGTCTTTTGGATTATATCATAGCTGATCTTGCAACAAAGGGAGTTGAAGGTTTCCAAGTCTTTGATGTAACAGGTGTGGATTTTGGCAGACCGTTGTCTACAAGGCAGAGTGTCGGAATAAGTGCCGCATCAAATATTACGTCAATGACGATGGTCATTGACTAGCTCACTCTGTTGCAGCAGCGTTCCAAATGGTGCACCGGTAGCCCGGTAGTGTCTGTTGGTGACATAGTCCTGGATGTTAATCCACCCCCCATGAAGGTCCTGTAGCCAGGATACTGGAGCATATTTCTCGTTGTGACGAACTAAACCGGGTTGCGGCGCTAAAGCCAGCTGTTGAAACGACAAACCGAGCGGGCTCAAGGTTGTGTGCTGCCCCATAAGAACTCTGTTGAAGGGCCTGCCCTTAAGATATTGTGCCAAGCAGCCAAAGCCATGGATGAATAGTCTAAAAGAGGCGGATGAGCAGCGGCGTGTTTATCAGCATTTTTTATTCTTTTTTTTTTTTTGCTGCATGCGCTTGTTTTTGGGACCTTTCTAGCAGTGCTGCACACTAGCTCGTCGTAATATTGCGTCCCCTCTTCGCCCCCAGCTAACGATAAATAGCTGCATAGCTCGGAGCTTTTCTTGCTAAGCTTCGCTTAGTTGTGTATACGCCGTTGATTTTATCGGCTGTAGAGTTTGGGTTAAATTCGAACCCCTAATAAATATTGCAAATTGAACTGCAACATTTTTATTTATTTGGGTGCAATTTAAATTTATTGATTACGTAACATTTGGGTGAACCCGACGTGATTGGTTATTGTATCAGTTTCGAAGTGCCACGGAAATTTATTGTTGTTGTTATCATAGCCTTGTTCTTAAGTTTTATAATGAAGTCTGGAACTGAAACTAAAGGTTCTGTTGCTGAAAGCAGGTAAGGGATGCTGCAGAGACGAGCAGAGGTGACCTGTCAAGAAATGGAGGTCCTGTATCAGAAGGTCAAGGTTGTCATTCGGACCGCAGGCTCAACCATTAAGACCCTCGAGTCAATGAAGAAGCGTCTGCGTGATCGATTCCCCACGCTTCAGGAGGAATTGGAGGAGCTAAATTAAAGCGCAATTGGAAGTGATTTATATTGAATGTTCTTTTATTCAATAGGTGCCCACGGATGTGCACGTCGACATCCATGTTGAAGTTGCCAAGTGCTTCATGAGAGTTTTTGCCAACTCTTCCCTCATTGCCCCCCTTGCCGATGCCAACATTCAGCGGTAGCTATTTCTTCGGATTTCTGCGCCCTCTTGACGATTGACAGTCATCCTCACTTGACTAAGATGGAGACGCTCAGGCTCAGCCAAAGACTGGACGAAGCGTCTTTGCCACACCAAGGTAACACCGCGCATACACGCTTTCGAATCAGGACCAACTGGTGACCGGGGTGTCCCCGATCAGTTTCTTTACTGGGCCTGAATTCACGACTCGGCCAATCATTGGATCACGCGTGTTCCTCGTGATTCAGAAGTCGGTAAAACGTACGCCAGATTTGTCCCTTACACCCTTCGCTGCAAGTCTACCTGCAGTGGTCGGGAATGGCTCAACTCGAATCTGATACCCCGGACTATAGAGGAACCGTCCTGCAACGGACCCTTTCTTGACTCGTCCTTCACACTCTATTCTTCTTGGGCTGATGGACTTTCCAGAGGCGGCCCTTCAACTCAAACTACCGGATCCTTTTTAGAAATGCTCTAACACTTGAATGTTGGACCCTCCAAAGGCAGTCTTCCAACTCAACGGTACAAGATACAGGAGTCTTTTTACGCGTCCCGATTCGCTTCAATGGTCTTCCTCATATACGGCTTGGAGCACCCGTTAATCCTCCTGGATTCTGCTCTTGCCGTTAATTCTGCTTCTAAAATCACGCCACTTTCCCGTTGCCGGGTCACCCCTGCTGTTTTCTATGCGGACTTCGAGGCCCCGCTACACTTTTGAGTCTACTCCTTGCTTTTCCGTTGATGCTAACCCCGCCGCACTTTCTTAACACGGCTGCCCGGACACCCCGAGAACCGTTACGTTTCACGTCGTCTCTGTGATTCGTCCCCTCCTCAATGATTTGCAGGTGCAGGTCTTGCAGGTGGGCTTCTCGTCTTTACATTCCCCTTATCCCCTGTCCCAGAGCTTGACTGCTTGCGCACCACGTCAACCCCCCTTCCTTGATTTTTCCCAATGTCACCTGTCTTGGCGTGTGTGGAGACTTAATCTCACAAAGGGTATAATGACAAATAAAACCAATTGTGTAATAGAAGCAGTCACTTATGGCTAAATAATGAAAAGAGATCACTAAAGGTCTAAGATGAAAAAAATATAAGGAAACTCAGAGCAGCGCACTTTCAGTAGCAGTTATCAAAAGGATAGATTATGAATTACCTGAAAAAAATTAGACAAGATTATCGTCAAACACGGTTTATCATTTTCCATCGTTTAAAAGCTTCTAAAGTGCTAATTACAGTATATACAACTCTTTTTAAAGAATCTTAAATTTAAAAAAACGATACTTTTTCATAGCTGGGTTTGTTAAAAAAAAATTAAAATAGTAACAATTCTTACCTCATTATTTTTAAAATCATCACATACAAATTCAATATTTTTGTGCAAAGGTTTTGAAAAGTCTTCTCCTTGGCAAAGTTCCACCTCGAATTGATCTTCTGAATCTGTGGGAAAGCCATCTACATCTACATCGACATCTGCATCTATATCATTAATTGTACTTGTATTTTGAGAAAGAATGCTAAGCTCTTCAAGTGATGGCCTCCCGTCTTCGTCTGTCGTTTCAATATCAACAACCTCATCATCATCATCGCTTTCCGAAGCATTTCTATTTATAAATGCTGTTGTTGCTGGTTTTTCTTTAATATTTTGGCCTGCACATGATACTCCCGTTAAACAATTTAATTGATTAACTTCATTTTTGAATTTGACAGTATCCAAATTTATCGCACACTCTTCTGGCGCCTCTGCCGTCTTTTGACTGTCTTTGGCAGGTGTAACATTGGCTTGTGCTAAAACCGTTGATGTTTGTGTCGACTGTGGGGGATGAATGTAAATATTTCTGCTTAAATCACTTGATGTATATAAAGAAGTAGATAGAATTGCTGCTGAAGCAACTACTGGTTTGAATGCAGAGCAACTGAGAATTGAGGGAATGTTGTAATCAGAAATTTTTCCAACTCTTGGTGCTGCCGATTCGTTTTTTACGTTAAACGATTGTTTATCTGAAAGACAAACTGTCGGTATGGAAATATTTACGTCCGACGTAACCCATGACTTTTGACAGGCCACCAAACCAGCTCTCGTTTCGTTTTGGTTATCAACCTTAATTTTCTTTGAGAAATTTTGGTATTTACGAGGTTCTTTTTGCTGCCACATATACAACGAAAGTTCTTGTTCATTACGTAGAGAATGTAAAGGAGCTAAAACGGAAGATCTTTGTAAATTAAATGGAACTCCAACGGTTGCAGCCGCTACCGCAGTTACGCCAACGACTGCGGCAGCAGCAGCCATAGTACTGTAATTGTATTGCCGATCATGGGAATTTTCTGGGAGAGCACATTTTTCTGTCGATATGTTTTGCGTTTCCTTGTCAAAGTACATCAAAGACTTTCCTGAATTTTCGCCACCCACAGAATTATCGGGCGAAATTGAAGATGGCGAGCTTTGATTACGATTATTAAAATGACCATTGTTGCTTATTAATCGTTTTCTTGTTCCCCCATTAAACATAGCCTTGACATCTTCCCATGCATGAACTATTTTTTCATTATGACTATTTCCACTAAGGGTCATATGCCGTCGCCAGGAATTAAAGTTGGCTGCGTCAGGTTGCACGTATCTGTCGTTACTTGTTATGCGATGAGAATGGAATATAAATTTATTTGGTGAAAAAAACATTCCACAGTATGAACATTTAATGCATTTTGCTCTTGAAGAGTTGTATCGAGATGGTAAAAATGATCCTCGGCATCCCCATGCGCATTTATGCTGAACATTAAATGCAAAATCATCAGGGAGTTGGGGTGGGGAATTATCGCCTAGGAAACTTTTGCAAAGTCGCTCTGCTTCCCTTCGTGTTATCATTCCACATCGACGAGAACTTACTGGCATGGCTCCTGCGCGTCTTAGTATCTCCAATTGAACTGGCGTACACTGCACACAGGTAATTCCAAGCGCAACCCTTCTATTGTGTATTTCATTATAGCTGAATTGTTTTAATAAAGTATTTGAGATTTGAGCTAAGCAGAGGCGCTCTTGTGATTCTATGAATAAAGAAACTATTGGTATTCCATAGAGTAAAACAGAACTGACCTGAAATGGTAAACAAATGTAACTATTATTTGAAAGGGGATTTTGAAAGGGCATAAATATTAGCACTAAAATTATGTAACGGTATGTGATTAAATGATTTATAATTATACCCTTGCAGAGGGTATTATAATTTTGTCCAAAAGTGTGCAACGCAGTGAAGAAGACATCTCCGACCCTATAAAGTATATATATTCTTGATCAGGATCACCTCCTGAGTTGATATGAGCATGTCCGTTTGTCCGTCTGTCCGTCTGTCTGTCCGTCTGTCTGTCCGTCTGTCTGTCTGTTTCTACCCTTCACCCTTTTCACCCTTTCACCCTTCTTTCCTTTTCACGCAGTATATAAGTCGGAACGGCCCGGATCGGCCGACTATATCCTATAGCTGCCATATAACTGATTGATCGGAAATGGTATAACTTCGGTGTTTTTAGAGTAAGAGAGAGTTCAAATTTTACATGAGCGCTATTTTTGGCAAAATAATACGACATGCCAAATTTCGTAAGGATCGGCCGACTATGTCCTATAGCTGCCATATAACTGATTGATCGGAAATGGTATAACTTCGGTGTTTTTAGAGTTAGAGAGAGTTCACATTTTACATGAGCGCTATTTTTGGCAAAATAATACGACATGCCAAATTTCGTAAGGATCGGCCGACTATATCCTATAGCTGTTTTTAGAGTTAGAGAGTTCATTTTACACAAGAGCTATTTTTGGCAAAATAATACCACATGTCATATTTCATAACGATCGGCCAACTATATCCTATAGCTGCCATATAAACGAACAATCGGAAATGACCCAACATTCGTGTTTTTGAAGATAGAAAGCTGGAACTTAGTACAGAGTATATTTTTGGTCAGTTAACCCAACCTACTAAATTTTATAAGGATCGGCCGACTATATCCTATAGCTGCCATATAAATGAACGATTGGAAATGGTTTTTGGTAAAAATACCAACTTTTGTATTTTTGAAGATAGAAGCTTGATACTTTGTTTAAGCTTTATTTTTTATAAATTGGTTATATTATGATATTTTCATAAGGATCGGACAACTATATCTGATGTTTGCGCTATATATCCGGTTTTAAATGCAAGGGTGTATCAACTTCGGCTCCGCCCGAAGTTAGCTTTCCTTTAGCGTAGAAACAGACAGACAGACAGACGGACAGACAGGCGGACAGACGAACAGACGGACATGCTCATATCAACTCAGGAGGTGATCCTGATCAAGAATATATATACTTTATAGGGTCGGAGATGTCTCCTTCACTGCGTTGCACACTTTTGACCAAAATTATAATACCCTCTGCAAGGGTATAAAAAAGTTCAAAGTACTTACGACGATTTGAACACAGAAAAATTATACATAGAGTAACTACTCTGTGCATTACGCTACAACCCTGTCTACAACCCTGTATCTGCAGCGATTAAAAATACTATTTGTTCTACTTACTACCACATCGGCGCATTGAAAACAGAAACTAGAAATTGAAATTGAAATTTGGAAGCCAAAACATTTTTACGCCGTCGTGCGAGCAATCACACATACATACAAAGGCTCACATTTTTGTTGACGGAAACATGTAAGGAGTTCTAAAAATAGAATCGTATGCATGTGAGTTCCCCCCTAACCTACAAGCTCGACGAAAAAAGTTGACCGTTTTGGGCGCTGATGTCCCATTATATACTTTATAATCTTTGAAAGTATTCAAAAGACAAAAGAGTCATTCATAAAGGTACACGCTTTCACCGGTATCAAATCATACCGGTTGAACGAGTACAATCAAAGCAAGAATCGTTTCCGTATTTTTGACCTCAAAATACTTTCTGAGGCTTAATATTACCCGCCAATAGCACTCAGCTCTGATACGGTGATCAGTACTGAATCGGGCCTTATTGCGAGAAAAAGAACCTACATTTTATACTACAATTTTTGAAAATGTCCTCTCGGTTCTGAATCATTTTCAGACTTGAATCAGATTTGATTTCGGATGCGATTCAGGAGTGAAAAAATTTTCGAAGGCAGAGGTGAAACAGGCCTGAAAAAGGCGGGTGAATCCTAGATGAAAAAAGCTAAGTCCGGCCTTACTCATGGCCCAGAATTATTTAAAAATCGGTTTAATTCCACTTCCTGCGCAAGAAATTCTTAGTTTTTTCTTAACATTTTTTAGCTTATAGGTATTTAATGAATATTATTTACCAAATGTTTTAAATTAAATTCAAATGTTATGTTTTAATCAATCAAACATGCATATCTCTAAGCTATTAAGCAGGCGCGCGTTGGATGGGACTGACAACGATAAGTTTCTAAAAATATAACTCTTATAGCTCTTACAAAACAAGGTGTTTTTTTAATTCCCATTTAAAAAATTATTGAGTATCATCAACTTTAAGCCTGCCGTTTAGAACCCATGACTTTCTAATCAAGACGTAGATCAACTTAACCATTGAACCATGCGGTGAATCACCAATATCCTGGTCAATGACCTCTGGTTCCCAAACGGTAACACGATCACCGAAAATTCCCGAGATCCCCGACGGAAATTATAATACCTACACCATTATCAGTTGCACAACACAGCTAGTGCAACGGGAACAAAAAAAAACAAGAAAGGAAAGCTAACTTCGGGCGGAGCCGAAGTTTATATACCCTTGCAGTTAAAACCGGATATATATCGCAAACATCGGATATAGTTGGCCGATCCTTATGATTACATCATAATAAAACTAATTAACTAAAATAAAAAATCTAAAAAAAGTCCCAAACTTCTATCTTCAAAAATAAGAAAGTTGATATTTCTACCAAGTACCATTTCCGATCGTTCAGTTATATGGCAGCTATAGGATATAGTCGGCCGATCCCTATGAAATTTGGTAGGTTGGATCAACTGGCCAAAAATAGAAACTGTATTAAGTTTCAGCTTTCTATCTTCAAAAACACGAAAGTTGGGTCATTTCCGATCGTTCAGTTATATGGCAGCTATAAGATATAGTCGGCCGATCCCGGCCGTTCCGACTTATATACTGCGTGCAAAGGAAAGAAGGGTGTGTGCAAAGTTTCAAGACGATAGCTTCAAAACTGAGAGACTAGTTCGCGTAGAAACGGACAGACAGACGGACATGCTCATATCAACTCAGGAGGTGATCCTGATCAAGAATATATATACTTTATAGGGTCGGAGATGTCTCCTTCACTGCGTTGCACACTTTTGGACAAAATTATAATACCCTCTGCAAGGGTATAATAACGATGGGAACTTTTTAGCCACAGGCAGAGGTCGTTTTCAAGAATTTTAAGAAAACTTAAGTCACTTCGCTCCCGTGAATTATTTAGTTCCCGGGAACTACATTTTTTAACTAGCTGGCGTTCAAGCAGCGACTCGCCGAAAATGATGATAGTATTGTAAGCATCGTAAACAAGAGGAAAAGAGGGGACAAGAGAGCTCTATAGATATTCCCTTCTTATGCAAAATTGCATGCACTAGTCTTAGTGACAAATATAAAGTGAGCAGAACACAATTTTTTGAACATACACCATATTAACCACAAGCGAAAAAATAAAACACATATATTTGCAAGTGGGCTATTGAATGTCCTATTAAAGTATTCAAAAACGTTTATAAATGACCGCCATCGAACAAAAGGGACTTAAAAACTCTCGACCATATAAGCGCTCAAATTCTTTCGTTCGTAAGCCATAGCCAAGTAAGCCTTTCATTCCCCCATGCCAGCAAGCATACTCCCACCGCAAAAAGTTCTGAGACACTTTAACATCGAGACCGGTACGTTTGAAAAGCAACTTGATGAACAGCCTAATAGAAATGAAGAAAATAACTATTTCGAATATGTAAGGTTAGGAGTTGGGGAAGGGGTGAAACAGTTCAAATCAGAGGAAACAATTTGCGGTAATCCTACAGACGCTTATTTTTTAGAATAAACAGTTACAATAGAATAAATAGAAACAGTAGAAAACTAAAAATAACTTACCATATTCTCTTAAACCTTTTTTTCCTTAAAAATTTTAAATTCCGATTTTTAATTTTGCCTACACTGAAATCTTTCAATGACAACAGGGAACGACACAATTTGACGCCAAAGTAGACATACAAATAGCTACCTTATTTATAAGCAGAGGTAGAAGAATTCAAATAAATCAACTTAAAATGCAAGCAGTTAATAAAATTAATATTCGTTCCGACAATGGATAGAAATTATAATTAAAAAGGGTACCCTAAGGCATAAAGAATTCAACTTTTAATGACTTTACAAGAGACGAACATGAAAGTTCAACTCGACAAGTGCAAGTTCTTTAAAGACAAGTGCGAGTTCTTCAGTTTTGGGATTCATTTCGGCAGATCGGATTAAAACCGGTATTGATAAGCTAAAACCCAAGCGACATTTCGCTAAACCACAAACAGTAAAAGACGCCTCTTCATTATTGGGATTATCTGGATGTAACAGAAAATTTGTTCGGGATTGCGGAAAATAGCTAAACCACTGACAATACCCTTGAAGGATAAAATCGGTAGACTTTCAAAAAATGTTTCAGACTTTTAAAATCGAAAACTCATCTGAGATGATGTATACTAGCCTTCAAAAAAGAATTCCAACTAACTACCAATTCATCTAATGTTGCCAAGAAGCATAAATGTCAACCATCAACCATCAACCCCTAACCGTTGCTCTTAGGAATAAGATAAGAATAAGATTATGTTATTCGGTCTCACTAGAATCAGGTAAAGGAAAGCGATATTTGGCGGATCATTCACACCGATTTCTTCACACCGTGTTTTCTTTGTGCGCCATCACAGAGAGAGGGAAGAGAAACTGCGGTAGGCTAATTAAGTTAATGTAAAATTGAAGTACCTATTGTAATCTCTTTCAGAATAAAACATATAACGCATCACAACGCTAACTCCAACTTTTGTCCAGCGTTTGTTTTAAGGCATTCCCCGTGATCGGCCAAGCGGCGACATTATCTTTTATTCGCACTCTG